ATTAATCAGGAATGCTGCCCAGACCATCATACTACTACCACTATGTCTGAGTCTTGACGTGATGTTTGTGGTCGCGCTGTGCTAGTTTTATGGGACGCAATTAGCAAAAAGGTCCACTTTTATGTCATCAGTCCATAAAGTTATTTCCAAATATGAGACAAGCCATTGTGTTCTTTTTGGTCAGTAGTGGATTTGCCCTTTGAACTCTCCCACTGAATGCTTCTTTGCTGTCTGATTTTCTCGGATAAATCGTGGTTCAGTTCCTGACCTACCATGAAACCCGATGGTTACCATACTACACACATTCTGCATACTGAACTTAGTATAATTTTACAGCATGTCACAAAATATGTTCTTACTGAAAAGCATTCAATTCAACATGAGAATGCATCCTAAGAGCAATTGCTAATTAACAATTGCTATGGTTAAATACAGAGAGACTGTGTATGATAAAGTCACAAGAATGGTTCTGGTTAACACCTGGAACACTCATTGTTTTTCTGTTTTCCTGCTAGGTGAGTGTTCTGACGACTCTCGAGAGACGTTTTAACCTCCAGAGTGCCGATGTGGGCGTCATCGCCAGCAGCTTTGAAATCGGCAACCTGGCCCTGATCCTGTTCGTCAGTTACTTCGGCGCCAAGGCCCACCGGCCCCGGCTGATTGGCTGCGGGGGGATTGTCATGGCATTGGGGGCGCTGCTCTCAGCTCTGCCAGAGTTTTTGACTCATCAGTATGAGTACGAGGCAGGGGACTCGTGGCATGCCGAGGACGGCAGGGTCATCTGCTCCAACAAAACCAGGTCAGAGAATCGGGACTCTGGTTTTAACTGCGGCAACCGAGCCAACACCAACATGATGTACCTTCTGCTCATCGGAGCTCAGGTTCTGCTCGGCATCGGGGCCACTCCCGTCCAGCCTCTGGGAGTGTCATACATTGATGACCATGTCCACAAAAAAGACTCTTCATTGTATATAGGTGAGTCACTGTAAGGATGCGAAATGATTGTCAAGTGTTTGTTTTGGTACACGATGAGATTGCATGGTACATAAAAACATTAGTCTAAAACTGGACAAAAGGGTTTTTTTCTTGTACTTTTGACATCTGTCCTTTCATCTCCCTACAAAGTCGTAAACACATTGTGAGGCATTCCAAGGCAATCCCTTGACATATATAGGGGTAGACTGTATCCCACTTCTACCCCACTATCCCACTGTATGACACTCCCTCTATAAAGCTGTTCATAGCTGCCAGGTCATGTGGGGGTCAGAGCATAGAGGAACAGCACCTATATGACTTTGGATTGGTTCCCAATCCATTTAATCAATTTCTATCCTATCATTTCTCATGATTGAGACCACAAGCTACTTGAACACTTCCAATTAAGGTAAAGACTTATTCCCTTGGTTTGTTGGTCAGATGTTAAGTTGTCAGCTAGAAGGACTCAACCTTTCACCAGTTGAGAACCTTGGCTTCAGACTCAGAGTCTCTGGGTGTGTTACGCAACATAGATAATTGTCCATTCGGAACGCAAGGCGCTAAATGTTAAAATGTAATTCAACAAAGCCTAAAGGAATTTTAAAAATCGACTGGTGAGCGGTGGAGTCCGATTCAGGCGAATCGGACCCCACCACTCACCTGTAGGGAACCTCGATTTCAGACTCAGGAGAGCTGACGCTCATCCTGCGTATGGACACTGATTGTGGAGAATGGATTATTACAACCTTGTTGCTTCATGGCTTTATGGAAGCGGAAAAAAAGAGGAAAAAATTCCTCATTAAATTCTGAGTAGTGTTTTGTTCTGGAGAAGAACTGTGTTTTTAATACTCCCAAAAGCTAAAAGCAGCAGCGCCTGATGGGTCCCTTTAGGTGCTTTTACGGTTTGACACAGACGCCGTGTGATGCTGCCAGCATCGGATGCTGATTGCACACCTGCAGCTTTATGACTTAAAAGGTCGTGTGACAAGCTGCATCATCATCGCCATGCTGGACGTAGCCATTAGCAAATCGATGCACATTATCAGAAACTGCTCAGGTAGACTTTGGCCTTCCTGCTTCCTTTTCAGGAGCATAAATTTTGTAAAGGAAATCTGCATCGCCGCACCGGCTGCGGCAGCCAGGACTGATGTGTCAGGGCAGGTTGGTTTTATAACGTTGGCGCCCGATTCTAAGTTTACCATCTGCTGTGTGAGCAAAATGAGGAAAATTGTTTCCTAGTCTTCAGACTGCATTTTGTTTATTTGGCAACCACAGCTGAAGCTGAACATGTCCTTCTCTTAGTAGGTAGCAGTGATCAGTGTGGAGCTGCCTCAGAGTTGGATGTTTTTTGCCTCCAGTTGCAAAACGGGGTTACACGAGGTCTTCAAACACTGCTCATGTTGCGTTTCCTTTTCTGCTTTATTTTTATTCAAGCCTCTTCACTCTGATACCGCAGAAGGAAATCCTTTGTAACCAACTGCTTTCAGAAGTGAGCTAATTAGTAAATTATATATTTAGTGATTTTGATATTTTCACATATCGGTATCGGCCCAAGACATAAACTGGGCACATATTTACAACCAATATTTATTTTCATCTTGCTGCTGTTTGTTTGTGCAGGTGAAGAGGAGGAGGATGCTCATGTGATATGTCTTTGGTCATGCGAGAATGATACGGTACTATTGTGAAAACAATACATGAGGGACAATAAAAACGATTTGTTACATCCTTTTTTGGTAATTGTACAACTGTGACTGTGTGTCACCGTAAACATAACCCTCCAAACACAAATTATCCTCTTGGAAAAAAAAAAAATCTCTTTTGTAAAGCGCTTCTTTATGACTCCAGTCATATAAAGATGTGTGAATCTCTTCATGGCATATTTTGGTGTTTATTTATGCTTTCGTTGAACAAACTGTGGAGAAAATAGTAAAACTATCAATACTGACAATAAGGGCAGTTTGGGATCTTGATACATGATAATCGATACAATAAGTGCCCACCCCACACAATGCTTTTTAGAACTATTTTGATAAAAATCATTTGGCGCAATATGTTCTCATCCTTTCAGCTCATTTGCGTTGACCAGAAAGGTGGTCCCACGAGGCACAGAGTCTGGAACTCTAATGGCATAACCGTAAAAGCTATTGAAAACTGTTTTATGGTTTTCTTTTACTGCACAATTATGGGAGGTACTGTAAGTTGGAAAAAAAAGTGGAATTCTGCACAGGAAAAGTTAGGAAGAATATTGTGTCTTGTACTTTCCTTGCAGTCATACAGTTTAGGTTCCCAGGAGGAAAGCACTTTCTGCGAGCATCAGCAAACTTTCCCAGGCTGGCAGTAGAGCACTGACTTACAGTAACAACTAGGAGGCTGACATAATGTGCATAATAGGCTGTCTGTCAACGTTACCTAGGTAACAGCCGAGAGACAGTGCGGCGTGTCGTTCCCGTTCTTCATGCAGCTCAGCAGCCTGCCATTAGCCGATAGCCATCAGAGAAAGTGGAGAGAAGGAGAAAGAAAGAAAAAGAGGGGGTAAAAATCCAAAGTTGTTTCTCTATTCTTTAAATAAAACTGTACCGTCGACGCAAGAAGTTTCAGACAGAGTCCTTCTAGTAGCAATTCAGAGCTCACTAGATATGAAGATGCATAATAAAGAAAAATATTTAAGACTTCACGACTCAGCAGATGACCCTGAACATCGCATGCACCTGGTGGAGTTAATTTAGCGACACGTATTTAATTCCTGTTGGCATCCGATTTGCACCGTTAAATACGGACGTACAGTTAGCCCCCAAATTATTCATGCCACTCTCTGATGCCGATTTTGAACTATTTTCATTCGACTCAACAATTTGTTTTTGACTGACAACGAGACTAAAACAATGTAAAAATAGGGATTAAAAATGGCATTGCAAAAAATACTTTGACGCCTTCCTAAAATGACAGACTAAGTCGTATTTTTGCCCAAAATAAAAAAAAAATTATCTTTGAAAGACAATGTTTAATAAGTAGGGAAAAAAATCTTTATCAATATTATTGGACTCAAACCCTTCCCATAACTAATGAAGTCCAAGTCTCTGTTGGCATCACCCTAATGTTTAGCTTCTGCCGCCGATTATTTATCAGACTCAAGTCAGGATTGTGGCCAGTTCACATTCTAAAATATATTAAATAATTATTAATAATTAATAATAATTGTTTAGCTTTACATCATGTCATAGTGTTGTCTCCTCATCCAAAACATTCCAGCATTGTTGCCTTGACTCTTTCACCCATGTTTGAGAAATCCTCCTGTGACAACAAGAGGGATTTCAATGCAACTCCTTCTCTGAGCTGAAACTTTCAGACTTCCACCTCATAACACAACCCTGCCCTGTTACGCCCCCCTGATTAGCTCCTTCAGACTAGCCAACAGCAATTAGCAAACACTGGGTGGAACTGTGCATCTGCTGAGCTCATTTTATGAGCCACTTCTCAGTGCATCACTAGTTAAAACATTGTTAAAAGCTTGATAGAGGAGAGATGTTGCGATGACTTCGTGAAGGTGGAATTTCATAACCAGCAGGAGTTTTTAAAAAGACAAAGTCCCAATTCCAAGAGGTTAAATAATGAAATCAAATTTCTTTTGAAACTGAAGCTAACATAGTTGCTTGATTGTGGTGGGAAATTGGGAAATACAGGACACTGCCCCTTTAAAGAACTGAAAACAAGACTGAAAAGCACTTGATTGCCATTTTCTCATTTCTGTCCTGGCTGTGATCTCCCCAACCTCTCCCTTCAACTCATAAATATAACAAACATCAGTCCATTCTCACCACCGCCCGCACTCCGTTCCATGCTTTGTATGTTATCCGATCCACCAGGCACGTCGATCGCCAGGGCTGCGTCGTGAGGTGGTGCTGCTGTTGAGGTTCCAAAATTGCGCTGACGCCTAGAAAGTCGTATGAGCATGCTCTGTTTCATATGCCACCACCGTTCAAAGACGGCGCTGCTTGACGAGCTCCATGTGTGAAAGCGGAGTCGCCTTGAGTGAAAACCACATGACAGGAGCAGTTGGGTTCAGTTCAGCAAACACCTGTCCAGCTGATTAAATATCAAAGCAGCAGCTCTGGAGGAAGGAGCGGGATAGGATGATCGAAGACGAGGCCGCTCTTTAGAGATCGCATCTTCATCCTCATGGATCAATGCAGCTTGAATGAGACAAAGGGGACAAGAAACACTCCAGGGTAATCAGGTAAACACCCCTGGCCCTACGAGAAAACAGTAATCTCCTCCTAAACCTAATAGGTTGTGGTGGGAAGAGCTGACATCACACCCCTGTGATGAGAGCCAGAGAGCCTTTTACGTCACGGTGAAGGAGTTACGACATTACCACCCTGTTCTGTGTCATGTAACATCTTAGCCAGACTTTAGGTAACTAATGAGCCACTTCCAGACCGCCTTCTGCTTCTTTTGAGTCATTCAGAGGTGGAGTCGCTGCTGTGCTGTGAACCATTTTCTGGCTGCACAGTTTGAAGTGCTTGAGATCACAAACTGATGGCTGGCAGAGCAGATCTCCAGTAATCTCTGTCTGAAGCAGCATAACAACCCCACACTATCACTCCACCACCACCATGTTTGACAGTGACTGTGTTTCTATCAACGGTTATTTTATGCACATTTTGAAGTGTCGCGTTAGAAAAGGTGTATGGAAACAGCAAAATTCAAAGTTTTTGAAAGATGTGTTTATACTCGTTTGACATGGATTTTGGCTTTTCTGAAAAGAGGCAGCGCACCAAAGGGGAGATAGAAACACACATTTGCCGAATTAGTTTTGACGTAGTAAACTTTCCCACCCACGTAGGGAGAAACTGTCAGCCTGAAGTGGCCGGTGAAAGGCACTCCAGATTCGCCTGGAAACATAGCTAATGATGTTCTTTCCCTGAAATACTAACGCTAAGCACGTAGCATGTCATGAAATGTAACAGGATACACACCTTCCAGAAAATCCTAGCGCC